GTGAAATATACTGTTTGAGTACTCGTTATAGCATTAAGCCTCAGTGTACAGCACATTAAGGACAGAGATCCTACATGAGGAGTAAGTGCACAGTGACTCCTGTTGTTGACTTTACAAATTCTCATAATAAAATTAATCCATGTGAATTAGTGAAATTTATGAAGTACAGAATAGGAGAACCAAGTTAAAAACACCAGTGATCCCACCACTTGCAGATAACCAGTGTTAAAATATAGGTGTAGAGGGGCTAGTGCTGTGGCCTAGAAGGCTAGGCCTGCAGCACGGCATCCAAGATGGTTACTGGTTCGAGTCCCAGCTGCTCCACTTATTTTTTTTTTTGTTAAGATTTATTTATTTATTTGAAAGTCAGAGTTATACAGAAAGAGAGAGAGATCTTCCATCCGATGGTTCACTCCCCAGTTGGCTGCAATGGCCAGAGCTGCACCCATCCGAAGCCAGGAGCCAGGAGCTTCTTCCGGGTCTCCAATGCGGGTGCAGGGGCCCAAGGACTTGGGCCATCTTCCACTGCTTTCCCAGGCCACAGCAGAGAGCTGGATCAGAAGTGGAGCAGCCAGGACTCGAACCGGTGCCCACATGGGATGCCAGCGCTTCAGGCCAGGGCATTAACCCACTGCGCCACAGCGCCGGCCCCAGGCCCTGCTCCACTTCTAATTTAGCTCCCTGCTAATACACCTGGGAAAGCAGTTGAAGGTGATCCAAGTGTTTGGGCTCCTGTGCCCATGTGGCAGACCCAGATGAAGCTCCTGGTTTCTGGCTTCAGACTGGATCAGCCCTGGCCATTGCAGCCATTTGGGGAGTGAACCAGTGGATGGAAGACCTCTCTCTCTCTCTCCCTCTCTCTCTGTAATTCTTTCTTTCAAATAAAATAAATAACTCTTTAAAAATATATAGGTATATATACACTTACGTGTGTGTATTCCAGTAATTACTTTAATAATGCAAATCTATGGTGAAAGACTTTTCCTCATGGAGATTTTGTGAAATCTGCAATTTATAAGTCTTACGTGGATGTGGTATTATGCCAGTGTAGAACACACTTCTTGAAGCACAAGACTTTATTCCATTACTGTTGATCCCTACACAGGAAAACCCCATGGGTAAGAATTCCCAGAGAGATGAGCATGGCAAGAAGTTCCGACAGCTGGAGGAGGACTACAAACAGCAAATGCTGTTGACGATTCGGCAGAGTTTGCAGATTGCTACGACCCAAAAATTGGAGGAGAAAATTCAGAAACTTCAGAAACAGCTCAGCGATTTGAAATTGTCAAATAAAAATATGAAAACCCAGCTGACGAGAGTAAATGCCCTTAAAGTGAGTAAGGGCAGTGAGGCTTTCAAAAATTCACCAGAGCTGTGCTCTATTCCTGTTTTAGTTGCGTGTTTCTTATTGGACCTTAAAAAATTAATATTGAATGTATTTTACATATATGCAAAATAATACGCGTTAAAGTATGCATAATTATAAAATTGGATGCTGTGAATCCACTACCTATTTTGGAAAAAAAGAATATTGCCAAGCCTTGTGTCACCTTCCCTCTTTCACCAAGGGAGCTGATATCCTAAGTGTTACGATTGCAAATTTCTTGCTTTTTCAACTTTTGAAAAATTTATTGATATGAAGGGTAGAGACATGGAGAAAGAGAGAGACAGAGATTTCCCATCGTTTGGTTCACTCCTCCAATGCCTGCAACAGTTGAGGCTGGGCCAGGCCAAACCCGGGAGCCATAACTCAACCCAGGCCTTGCACTTGGTGGCGAGGACCAAGTTCTCCAGCTGCCTCCAGCAGTCATGTGTTGCCTCCCAAAGCAAATATTGGAGGAGGCTGGAGAGTGGCGCTGGCGCTGGACCCGGGCACTGTGGTATGGGACGTGGGTTGCATCTTCACTGCTGTACTGTAGTCTCTTGTTGGGGTTAATACCTTAGTCCTTTTTTTAATTTTTTTTCACCTGTCTTTAGATCTTCTCCATGTCTAACTTCATTTATATTATTTCAAATGTAAATTATGGGCCAGCGCCGCGGCTCACTAGGCTAATCCTCCGCCTTGCGGCGCCAGCATATAGGTTCTAGTCCCGGTCGGGGCGCCAGATTCTGTCCCAGTTGCCCCTCTTCCAGGCCAGCTCTCTGCTGTGGCCTGGGAGTGCAGTGGAGGATGGCCCAGGTCCTTGGGCCCTGCACCCCATGGGAGACCAGGAGAAGCACCTGGCTCCTGGCTTCGGATCAGTGCGGTGCGCCGGCCGCAGCGCGCCGGCCGTGGGGGCCATTGGAGGGTGAACCAAAAGCAAAAGGAAGACCTTTCTCTCTCTCTCTCTCACTGTCCACTCTGCCTGTCAAAAAAAAAAAAAAAAGGAAAATTTAATCTGGAAATCTTTAATTCAACATCAAATTGTGAACATTTATCTTGGCCATGGAGTATTCTTGTGGAAAATGAATTTTAAAAAAAAAATATTTATTTGAAACAGGGGAAGAGAGAGAGAGATCTATCAACTAGTTCACTCCCCAGATACCCACAGCAGCCACAGCTGGACCAGACTGACATCACAAACCCAGAACTCAAGCCACGTTTCCGGCATGTTTGGCAGGAAAGCAAACCATCTGCAACTTCCCCAAATGTGCTTCAGCCAGGAAGCTGATTTGAAAGCAGAAATGGGACTTGAAGCCAGGGATTTCCAGGCATGGGAAGGGGACATCCGCAGAAGCATCTCTGTCAGGGCACCAAATGCTCGCCCTTGAATGTGATTTTTTGACTTTCTTCATCTTATTTATATTTTTCAGTTTTTAAAGTGATCTTTTAAGCCTTTTTGATTTACTTCTTCC